TTGGCGCCGTGCTGTCTTCCAAGATCTCTCTCTGCCATTAGCAGCAGCGTCCGGGCAGACATCCACGGCCGGCCAGGGGTGGCTGTCTGGACTGGCAGGGTGGACGCCATGGCTTTCTTCATGCACGTCTGGACTGGCAGGGTGCGTCTGCTTCGCCCTGAAAGATCGCGATCGGCACGCTGCGCATTCCAAGAGTCAACCAAAGAGAGAGTGCGCATGTGTGCTTGCAGCCGCTGGGGACCGCAAATTGTCTTACATCATATGTTGTTGTTGTCGGTGGACGCTCCTCAATCTTAATGTTGATGTTCACGTCAACCACCTGGACAAAACGATGCGATTGCAACTGCTTCCACCGGTCGCTCCAAATGTTCACGGCACAAGAATGCCAAGCGTCAGTGATTGCAACATGGTCGAGTTGTTCGAACTTGCTTGGACAGATCGGTTCGCATGGCTTGACTCCCAAGTCGTGGTATGTGATCTTCGATTCTAACCCAGTGTTGAAAAACGTATTTGCCACCATGGCCTCCCATGCTTCGCATAATTCAAACAGCAACTCCCAGTTTGAAGTTGGTGCCCATTCTTCCCGTGGATTTTGAAATACATACTCTCCCAAAACATGATCTTCCCCTGGAAGCCGCTGCAAGATCCTCGCATTGAAGTCAACCAGAGGAATAGTAGGGCCATGCGACGCACACGTTTTACTGAAACCCAGAAGGTCTGCAAAGAAGTTGTGCCTGGCGTCGTAGTCGTGCTCGTTGGTCCACGCGCACGCCGTGATGATCGCCAGTACGCCTCCCGTGACCCGGAGCCGAATGCATGCCTTTCTGTTGTTTTGTTGCCGGTACCCTTTGATAGATTGCCGCGCCCAAGGCGCAACAATAAATCCAACTCCTGCGTACTCCGTTCCGTTTCCTTCCCCGCCAATTTAAGATGACGAAGTGGTTCTCAAATTCGAATACTGGCGAGCCCTTGCAGTGTGTCTCTTGGAGACATACTACCGCTATGTCCATCTCTCGCATGTGCCGAATTAACTCGTACCATTTTGCCGTATTGTCCAAGCTAATGCTTTCGACATTCCAGGACGCTATGCGGCTGCATGTGATAGGCCAACAAGAGTACGTGACCCATTTTCCCAAAGTTGACGCCTCTGCCACATCACCAATGCGCCGTCGTGTTTGCTACATGGCAGCTGCAGCACCTGACCCACCCTTCTTGCCCTTCCGAGTCCCTTTCGCCGCAGCCCCGGCTGAGCACTTCGTTGGCCTTGGCGGTGAGGTGCTCCACTCCTGGGCTCTTTGTAAGGTCGTCCCACGTTTTCCAAGTTCCTTCCCAATGATATTGAGAGTACGGTTTACGACTCGTACTGCTACCACGGGTTCTTTAGCGATCTTGAGGGTGTGATTATCAGTGTCCACTCGAACCTCGGCTTTAGAGTACCTCCATTCCATGAATTGCTTGGGGATCCCAAACAAGAAACTTTCTGTGACACGTTTCTCAATAAGTTGATCCGGACGGGTCCAAATTACATTCGTCCCGTGCTTTAGTTGAGCACTCCCGATGATATTCACGAATTTGTCCCGGACATGGGCAGAAATGAAGTTTGCAAACAATATATTGTTGAATTCACCCTTCGCGAAGATCACGATGGGTTCTGGTGCGTGCAGTACCCCAGCTTGTTCTTTAACGAAGTTGACTGCCAACTTCATCGAAGGGAGTCCTCCCGAACCTCCGATAACAGCATTGTTCTCCTTGTTCCTGTCTTGGTTTGTAGCTACATCTGCAAATTGGCGCGCAAGCTCCAATATCTAATTTTACATGTCGGTTGTGTATGTTGCTCCAGAACGTGCAGATGGTAATCTTGGGGGCTCCAGAGAGTCCACGCGCGCCGCAAGCGAAGCAAGATCCTGTTGAATTGGAGCCACTGCGTTTTTCAGATCATCTTGTGAAACACTGTGTGGTTTAAAAGCCTGAATGTCGTGTTGTAGTGGTTGAAGCTGTTCTCGAAATATGCCCAACTGTCAAAGCTTGCCCATCATTATGAGTCCTGGAGGCCTCGGCTAAGTTCTCGTTGAATTGGCGTTGGCGCTCAGCTGCGAGCGGATCACGATCTTCGTCGGAGAGGCCGTGCATCTCGTGAAGAGGGCTGTGTACAGGGCTGTGGACACGCAGGGCTTTTTGTTTACTCTTAGGCAGCGGTGAATGAATAGGCTGATGGGGGTCCCCGAAGTAGTTGCCTGACGGGAGTACCTGGCACCCGCGTCGAGTCACCACCAAAAGAAGATGCCATCGTTGCGGTATCGAGCTGCAGGTGATAGGAGTGAAAGGAGACGTATGCTTTGGGGGGCCCTTTGGGCGCTCCCTGGGGGCCTCTTGGAAGCTTTTTGGGGACTCTTGCGGGCATCTTGGGGACGAGAGCTCGAAATGTCCGTTCGGGCTCCCCCTCTAGGCCTCCCCTTGGGGCCGTCCTCGGGGCCTCCACGGCCGTCTTGGAGGCTTCTGGGGCCGTCTTGGGGCCCTCGTGATTCCTCGTGTGCCGTCTTGGAGTCCTCTTGGGGACCTCGAGGCCCGTCTTGGGTCGATCTTGAAGGCCGCTTCGACCTGGGTGGGCCTCGTGAGAGCACAAGAGGCGAATGTGTTGAAAATGCCGGTTTTCCGAACAGAGTGGGACGGTTTTTGCTCTTTGAAGGCCTCTTGGAACGGCCCGTGGCGACTTCTTGGAACGGCTGGGAGGCCTCTGGGGCCGTCTAGGGCCAATCTTGGGTCTTGGCGCGATCTTCCGGCGACCCGTGCCCCTCTTGGACAGTCTGGGGACCCTCTTCGGGCCTTCTTGGCCCGTTTTGAGATTTTCTATCCCCCGCGTCGCGTTCGGCCGGTCCCTGGGGGGAACGCCCCCCCTCCAAATCGACTGGACCGAGGTCCTGGGGGAGGCGCTTGGAGAGGGGGAAGCATTTCACACGCCGATGAACCCCAAGGGGTCGGCGGATTCGCCTAGACAGTGCCTGCACTTAGGGGTTCCCACTTCTGCTTTAGGGAGCTGGGCCAGATGGCCGGTCCAACTCCAGCCCTTTCGTTCCCAACCATATTGTGGTGTTGGGTCCTCGTTTTGAAGCGGCAGCGCCCCGCATTCCTTTCTGCCTTCCGCCTTCCTCCTCCTCTCCTCCTCCCCCTCCTCCCTCCTCCCTTCCCTGCCTGTGCTCTCCGCATGCCCATCCCATTTTGGCACACCCCTAACACGCTTCGTGGCCCCATAGGGAGCTCCACCGACGGCCCCAGTGGCGGTGCCCACATGCGTCCCCGCAACCGATTTCGGCACACCCCTCACACGATTCGTGGCCCCACTGGGAGCTCCACCGACGGCCCCAGCGTGTGTGCCCACATGCGTCCCCGCCACCCATTCGACACGCGCTTCGTGGCCCCATAGGGAGCTCCACCGACGGCCCCAGTGGCTGTGCCCACATGCGTCCCCGCCACACATTTCGGCTCACAAGGAGCTCCACTCACGGCCCCAGTGGCGGTGCCACTGCGTCCTCGCCATTTATTTTGGCACGCCCCTCATATGTGTCGCTGCCCCGTAGGGAGCTTCACCGACGGCCCCAGTGGCGATGCCCACGTTTCGTGGTCCCATAGGGAGCTCCACCGACGGCCCCAGTGGCGTTGCCCCAGTGACGTTGCCCACATTCGCCCACGCCTACCACATAACCTGCATCATAGACCTTCACCACGCAGCTCACACCACTTAAGCGAGTATGAGATGCCCTGCCACATCGACTGCGCGACGTAGATTGCACTGCGCGGCTCACACCTCATGGATGAGTACGTCAGCTCCTACCACATATATTGCACCGAAGAGCGGGCACCACGTAGCTCATACCACATGGATGAGTACGTCAGCTCCTACCACATAGAGTGCACCACATCGACCACATAGCTCAATACACATGGGCGCGTACGTGCGTGAACTCCTACGACATAGACTGAGGCGCGCTGCTTACACCGCATATCTCGCACCACTTGGATGATTACGTTAGCTCCTGCCACATCGGTTGCACCACATTGCTTGCGCCATGCACATCACACCACATCGATGAGCATGTTGGCTCTTGCCACATAGAATGCACCAAGCGTTCTCCATGAGACCCGTATTACACAGATGGCACCTCTACGAGCCATCACGCGGATTGCAGTATGCGGGTTGCCCAACATGGTTTGCCCCACATAGTTTGCGCCACGCTTGCACCAAATAGACTGCACCACCTATTGTACTAGAAGCCACTGTTTGGGGTCCATGCTGGCTAACATAGCGTTATAGTGCTCGGACACTTTTACATGTCCAAAATTATCCCAGAATCCCAGATCGTGCCAAAACACCGTTCCTACGGCTCCAACGCCGCGAATCAACATGACTGATACGTCTTGACAATCCGGAACCGTGCCAGAACGCGATTCAACCCCGCGATTCCACGTGAATGTTGCTTTGTCATGGTTGACAGTAGTCAAGCATGACACAGCAACATTCCTGAGATTACAGCCTTGCGAATTTTTGAAGGAAGTTGCTGCAAGGTTTTCAGACGAGTGTGCGCGACGCTCAGCGAGAGCGACACGTTGAAAAAGAATTGGCCTCCATCTTCAAACCTGCTGCAACTTTGAACACGAATGCGCGCGGCTCTGAGGCGAGAGCTGCCTTTTGAACATGACTTATGCTGCATCCGTGGAACTTTTGCAACTTGCAGGTTGGGGGGTCGTCAGTGGTCTGGAAGTCTCAGGCGACACCGGCAAGCCTACCGACAACACGTGTGGGGGGGCCCGACAAGGGGGAGTTATTTCTCACGAAAAGAGGTGGAGCACGAGAAAGACGACGAGGAGGAACGGGGTTCTTGAAGAGGAGGGACGACGACGACGACGACGACGACGAACGAACGACGACGACGACGACGACGACGACGACGACGAGCGAACGAGGAAGACGGGCGACGGACGACGGACGACGACGAGAAGCCGAGGCCAGCCTCGCGCTCCCGGCAACGCCCTGGGGCCGCAGCTGGAGTCCGGGCGGGACCACGGGCGAGGTGGCCGAGCTCGACGGCACGGGCTATGACCGGGCCGGGCCTTCGGCCTCCCGCCTCTGTCCTCCTCTCTTGTCTCTATGTTTCCCATCCTCCTCCTCTTCCTCCTCCTCCTCCTCGTCCTCCTGCGCTCTCCTCCTCTTCCACCCTCCGTGTCCTCCTCTACCCTCCTCCCTGTCTTCCTGCTTCGTCTCATCTTCCTCCTCCTCCTCCTCCTCTTCATTCTCGTTCTGGTCCTCCTCATCCTCCTCCGACTTGTTCCCCATGATCCTTCTTCTCTTCCTCTTATGTTTCTTCCTCTTCCTTCTCAGTCTTCGCTTGCTCCACTTTCCAACTTCTCCTCCTCATCTTCTAACTTATCGTCCTCCTTCGCCCCGCTTACTTCCATACATATATATAGATATAAATATACTGAACAACTAACCTTCTTCCTTCTGCCCCTCCGCCAGACGTGTTCGTAGGATAGACTTATCAGGCGTTTCGCTTGCCACCTTCGCACGATCTTGAAACTAAAAACTCGATCAGCTTCAAGGATAGATGACCAGTGTTTCTATGTGGGTCTTACCGTACAAGTTTGCAAATGCTTCAAGGATGGAGGGCTGCTGGTTTTCAAAATGAGGGACTCGCTCTAGCGTCGTGCACATCCGCCTCGACAGTGTGGAACAGCGTCAAGGATGGAGGTCGTATCGTGTTCCAAAATGTGGTTATTGCCCGCAGATTCGCCCCAGAGCTTGCAGCAGCATCAGCGATGGCTGGACGATCGTTCATAAAACTGCGGCTCTCGCTTCTCCGCCACGCTTGGTTGCAGCAGCCTTTGATGGTGGTCCGGTCGTTTTCAAAGTTCGGCTCCGCCGCAGCGCCGCGCACGTTCGTCTTCGGCTTCACGCGTGGAGGGCCGGTCGCTTTCAAGAAGCGGCTCTCGCTACGGTGCTGCGTGAAGTCGCCCCGCAGCTTGCAACAGCTTCATCGATGGATGGACGATCGCTTTCAAGAAGCAGCTCTCGCGCCAGCGCCTCACGCCTCTATTTTGAATGACTGCAGCAGCTGTTGATGGAGCGCCAGTCGTTTTCACAATGTGATGTTCACCGTAGCGCCGGTCACATTCGTCCTCTTAGTCTGCATCGGCTTGAAAAATGCGGCTTCGGCCCTAGCGCCGCGCGCATTCGCTGTCAGCATGTGCAGAAACTTCAAGGATGAAGCTCGGTGCGTTTTCAAAGTGTAGCCTTGGCTTTAGCGCTGCGCACGTTCGTCTAAAGGATGTGCATCAGCCTCAATGATGGAGGCGGGCTCGCTTCCTGGATGTAGCTCCCGCCAGAGTGCCGAGCACGTTCGTTCTAAACATCCGCAACATCTTGAAGAATGGAGGGCTGTTCATTTTGAACATGGGGGTACCAGGTCAGACTTGCTCAAAGCTGAAAACTGGAACCTTGAAGATGCGTAGAAATTGCACTGATGGAGGGCGGCTCCGTTTCAGAGTAGGGCGCTAGCTTCAAACATCTTCAGACAGCATGACCAGGACGTGCAATGTGGCGCAGCAGTTGCACGGGTAGGGTAGCACTCTCTTGTCAGAATGGGTTCTCTTTCGCTGGACACGTTAAACATGTGTAATCATACCGCTTCGCATGTCTGACCATTGTCTGCAAAAAACCAGTTCTTTAATCGCTTCGCTTACTCCGCCGGTCCGTATTGTGCCATCGCAGGCGTTTGCTTGCGCGTTCGTGGCCTCTTGGAGGCCGTTTGTAGGCCTCTTGGAGCATCATTTTGGGCCTCTTGGCAGTATTTCTGTGACCTCTTGGGGCGTCACGGGGGCCTCTTGGGGGCCTCTTGGGGGTCTCTTGGGGCCTCTCGGGGGCCTCCAGGGGACCTCTCTGCGCCTAGAGCTCGAAATGTCCGTTCGGGTCCCTCGTCTGGGCCCGCTTTCGGAGCCGTCTTAGGAGTCTCTTCGGCCATCTTGGAGGCCTCTGGGGCTGCCTTGGGGCCCTCTAGGGCCGTTTTGGGCGCTCTTGGAGGCCTCTTGGACCGTGTCGGGGCGATCCTGGAAGCCTTTGTGGCCGTCTTGGGGCGCCGGTAAGCCGAAAAGGCGAGAACGCCAAAAATCTTCAAAAAATTAAAGAATCAGGACAGATGTCTGCCTCTGTGGGCCCTCTTGCGAGGTCTCCTGCAAAGAAAAAATTATTGCAGTGGCCTCCGGCCAGCGCCGCCGATCTCATGACTGGCGACGACGGCGAGCGGTGAGCATGATGATGAGGATTGGGAATGGAGGCGATGGAGTAGGATGAGGAGGAGGATGATGATGATGAGGAGGAGGAGGAGGACCATGATGAGGTGGAGGGGGGTGGAGGGAGAAGAGGCAGGAGGAGGATGCTGCGGATGAGGGGGAGCAGAAGGAAGCGGGAAGTGGAAGAGGGCGAGGGGGAGAAGGAGGAGCATGACGAGGATGAGGAGATTTTCGGCGGTTGTTGGAGATGTTCGGCGGTTGTTGGAAAGCCTCTCTGGGGCCAGGTGTTGGCCCTCTTTGGGTTGACACCTCGCCGATTTGGCGCACTCTTTGAAAAGCTTCGTGCTAGAGCTGTCTGCGTCACAGTTCTTTGTGGAGCCTTGTGCATCACAGGTCTCTGCTGCGAGCCATGGTGTTTATGGGGTCTCTGGGGCCCTCGCGCGGTCCTCTGCGGGCCCTTGTGAGATCGCGGATGTGAGGGACACCGAAGACTGGAGAAGATGTGGAAGCGTGGAAGAACCTTGTGCGATGCAGCGGTCGCTTTCAGACGTCAGCGCCGCGGTAGCATTGGGGCCGGTTTGGGGCTTCTCGGGGGGAGTCTCGGAGGCAGCTTGGAGGCCCCTGGGAGGCGTTTCGGATGCATGTGTTGGGACTATCGGGGGCCCTTCGTCTGGACGCCCGAAATGAGCACGGAAAGAATGGTACGATGCCCAACAGCAGTTCCTGTTCATTTTGAATTCGCTGTCCACGCCGCCGCGGCCTGTGTCCATTCGAGACAGAAGGCCGCCTGCCCAACAGCGGCCGCTATTGGTTCGGGACAACATTTGTTGTTGGGCATTGTGCCCATTGTTTCCATACCCATTTCGGGCGTCCAAATTTAAGGGGCTTCAGGGGGCCTCTTCGGGGCCAGTTGGAAGCGTCTTGGGGCCTCTTCAGGTCTCTTGGGGGCCTCTGGGGGCCTGCTGGGGGCTGCTTGGGCCGTCTTCGGCACTTCTTCCGCCGTCTTGGCGCCCTCCCAGGCGCCTCTTGGGCCCGTCCTGGGGCCTTCTTGGGCGTTTTCCCGGGGCCTCCTGGGCCATCTTGGGCCCTTTTTGGGCCATTTTGGAGCCCTCTTGGCGGCTTCTTGGGCCGTTATGGGGCTCTCTTGGGGCGTCTGCGACGCCCTGAGGCCCAAGAGGCGAACATGTGAAAATTACAAGTTTTTTTTTTCCGAGGGCATGGGACATGTTTTGCTTCTTTGGGCCTTCTTTGGGAGGCCTTTTCCACGGTTTCTGTTGGCACCTTGGATGGAGACTTCTGGAGCATGTTGGGGACATATTGGGCGTTTCGCAGCGATCGTTCGGCGACTCGGGGCCCTCTTGGCCCATGTTGGGGCCCTCCAGGGCGAGGGGGCCGTCCTGGAGTGAGCTGGAACTCCGATTCCGCCCCGGGAATTAAGTGCACCCACCCCTTTAGAGAGCTGAAGCTCAGGAATTGAGGCTCAGGCTGTTCTGGGGGTCTTTGGAAACTCACACGCCGGATCGGCGGATTCCTGTGTCAAGCCAAGGCTCGCGCATAAATGGCCATCATTCAAGGGGGCGGGCTTTTGTAGAGCGAAGGAAGGATTGTTGGGATCTGTGCGGGCAGGATCCGGGACGGGCGGATGTATTCCTTCTCCTCCCGCATCCTCCTGCCCCCCTCCTCCTCCTCCTCCTCCTCCTCCTCCTCCTCCTCCTCCTCCTCCTCCTCTTCCTCCTCTTCTTCCACCACGTGTATGTTCATTCCTGTCCTCCTTCTCTTCCTCTTCCTTCTCTTCCTCTTCCTCCTCCTTATCCGATGTGCTTCGCTACGTTGTACAATCGGAAGTATGCTCGACTTGGCCAGATGGGGTAACGATCCGACGCCGATTCGCGCCTTTTTCTCCTTTTACCTCCGTCCTGTCTCCTTCCCTCGCTCTCTTTTTCTCTGGCTCTCTCTCTCTCTCTCTCTCGTTATGTCTCTGTCTCTGTCTCTCTCTCTCTGTTTCTCGTTTTGTTTCACGCTCTCTCTCTCTCTCTCTCTTTTCTCTCTCTCTCTCTCTCTCTTTCTCTCTCCCTCTCTCTCCCTCTCTCTCTCTCTCGCTCTTTCTCTATTTCTACACTTACCTTGCTCTGCCTACTTTGTTGTTTATATATATATATATATATGTGTATCTTTCTCTCGTTCTCTCTCGCTTTCTCTTTCTCTCGCTTTCTCTCTTTCTTTATTTCTCTCTCTCTCTCTCGCTCTCTCTCCCTGCCTCTCCCTCTCCATCCCTCACAATCCCTTCCTCCCCGCATCCCTCCCCTTCCGTCCGCCCTCCCTCCCTTGTTCTTGCTCCCACACCTCTCTTCCTTACAGAGCTTGTCGTCACACCATCAGGGGTGTCGGTTGGGCGGGCCGGCCGCTTCGCTTTTACATTCCTTCGCAATGTACAACACTGACGCCTGCAAGTACCAAGTGGTACACGAACAGAGGGCGGACCAATTTCTCACACGACTTTCTCGGTTTGGCGCCGAGCCCGAACACAGTGCGTCTTGAAACGGACTCATCGTTATAATCACTACGGGCGGGCCGCTTCCAGAACGTAGTTCTCGCACCAGCGCCGCGCACGTTCGATTCAACAAGTTCCAACCGATTCACAGATGGCAGGCGGCTCTTTCTCAGCTCTCGCTTGACAGTTCGCTGGGCTCGATCACGAGGGCTAGCGTTGAGCAGCGTTGCCCGGAAGGTGGCCCCTTTCTGTGCACCCGAGAGCGCCAGAGACACGAACACCCGGCAGCCGCGATCCTCGATCGCCGATCCCGAGGCACCCCTTCCGCCGGTTTTGGCCCACCACGCTTCGGCGCGACCCGCTGTCCACTTCCCGGGCCCCTCGCTTCGACGTCCCGGGCCTTCCCCGGCCTCCCGCCCCGCGGAGCGTAGCGACGCGCCATCTGCCTGCAAACCACAGCGCGCCGCCGGGGCCGGCGCCGCCGCCGCCGCCGCGACACGCTATCCAAAAGTTCCCGACGGCATCCGTGTATGCGGCCTCGCGGGCTGGGCGCTTGGGCCGCGCCCCTGCGGAGACTGTGCGCTCCTGTTGCAGACGCCGGGCGCGGAACTGGCACGCTCGCGCACGTCGGTTCGCGAGGGCGGCCTCGCGAGCTGAGGGGGGGGGGCACGCTCGCGTGCGTGGCTGGGCGCGCGCGCGCGTTCCTGGTTGCGGGCTTCCTCGCGTCGGGCCCGAAGCCGAGGCCAAGAGGGCAGCGGCTCGGGGCCCAAGGTTTTCAAGAGGCGAGCTCCGCGGGCGCCCGCAGCTCCACTCGAGTGCCCGAGTGGTGTGGGGGCGCCGTCCTCGGGGTGCCCGCGGCCGCCGCCGCCGCCGCCGTCTCCTGTTCAGCTTCACACCCCCGGAGGTCACGTGGGGCGTTCCAGAAAGGGCCTCGCCTCACGGATCGAAAAGGAGTCGTCGTCTCCTCCGCGGGGGGGGCTGGCGGGGAGTCGGCGGAAGGCGGCGGAAGTAAAACGAAGCCGCCTTACGGATCGGAGGAGTCGTCGTCTCTTCTTCCAGCGGGGGGGGCTGGCGGGGAGTCGGCGGAGGGCGGCGGAAGCAGAGCGAAGCTGCCTCTGCCAGCGGAAGGCGGCGGAAGGCCGGCGGAAGCCAGCGGAAGCAAGCGTCGGCCTCCCAAGAGATGACAACCTGTTTGGGTTCAGGCGGGCGCCACGAGGCCTCGGTGCTGGTCGCAGCACGACCCAGCAACGGGCGAGAAACGGGGTGGGCACGGGTGGGTCAAATCCCGAGCGCAGGGCGCGCGCCCCAGGCACACACAAACCTGTGGTACCTGCGCGCGGCCGCGGCGGGCAGCGGTGGGTTCAGGGTTTCTGGGGCGAGCCACGTGCCCGTGGGGCCACGGCGGTGCCGGCACGAGCGCGCCGCGGGGTCCCTTGTATCGGGCCCGACGCCCGGGGCGGTGCCGGCACGAGCGCGCGGCGGTGCCGGCACGAACGCGCGCGCGCGCGTCCTCTGCGGGCCGTCTCGTGTCAGGCCTCCTCCTCCTCCTCCTCCTCCTCCTCCTCCTACTCCTCCTCCTCCTCCTCCTCCTCCTCCTCCTCCTCCTACTCCTCCTCCTCCTCCTCCTCCTCCTCCTCCTCCTCCTCCTCCAGCCCGAGGCCAAGAGGGCAGCGGCCAAGCTGCACGCACCCGAGGTCACGTGCCCGGGGGGCCGCGGAGGGGGCCACGCGGGCGGCCGCTGCGCCGCTCGGGGCGGCCCCACGGCAGCACGGCCGAGGGGGTGCCGCGCGTGCACGGGGCGCCAGCTGCGTGCGGCGCCACGGCCATTCGCGCAGAGGCCACGGGATCAGCGGAAGAAAACGGGTCGTCTTCACCGACGTTGGCGCGCAAGTTGCCCGCGCAAGGTCGCGCGTAAGCGCCCTCGCTTCCAGTGCAGCGTGCCGCGCTGGCGGCCCGCGTGAGCCACCGCGTGAGGTGGCTGATTGTGTCATCTCGCGTAAGGCCCGTTTGTTTTCGTCGATTACCTTGGTTCCAGCGGCGCCATGCTGCCGAGGCCGCTGCGCCGAGGAGGCGACCGAGGCCGATGAGGGGGGCCAGGGCGACGAGAGACGAGGGGGCCGCGGCGCCAGAGGGGAGGAGAGCTCGGCGTCGTCAGTCCAGAGCTGGCCCGCTTGGAGGAGCGGGCGAGGCAATGGCGTGCCACAAGAGGCACAGAAAACGACGCCAACAAGGGCGCAGGCCATTTATCAAAGCGCGGGTGGGGGCGCAACGGCACGCCTCGTCCCATAGGCTTTGGACGTGGAGCACCATAGGCTTTGGACATGGACCACTGCTTTGTTGCGTCTGCCACCTGCCGAAAGCGGCGGCTCTCACCCGATGTCACTACCACTGCCACGAACCATCAGATCAGCGGCCACTGTTCTGAGACTTACTGAAACAGGGAGATAGAGAGAGAGAGAGAGAGAGAAAAAAAAAAAAGAGCAATGACGCTGAACGAAACAGATGTGAAAACGATATCCTCCTCCTCCTCCTTCTCCTCCTCCTCCTCCTCCGTAGCCGTTCTCCTCCGTAGCCATTCTGGCTCGAGCGGAGGCGCTCGCTGGTGCGCCGCAGGCACGCCGCGCCCCGCGGGCGCTCCCGGCCGCGCGATGGGTCGTGGCGGGCGCGGCGGCCTCTCGGTGCACCATGGCGCCTCGCCCGTGGCGGGCGCATCTGTCGGCGAGGCCGCCGAGCTCCTGCTGCGCGTGCAGTCTGGGTGCACGGCGGCAGAGGTACAGCCGGGGCCCTGAAGAAGGAACCCTTCTCGTTGGGGAGGGGCCCCGTGTTCCTTAGGTGTTTCGCAGCTTGCCTCAGGGTTTCCTAGTGTCTTCGATTGAAAAGCGAAGGTTAACCTGTGGAAAAAAGGCCCCGTTCCTTATTTTAGGTTCCTTAGGTCAACGCCTCGACTGTGGCGCCAGCTGCGGGGGCGGCGAGCGCGGCGAGCGCGGCGAGCGCGGCGTCGGCGGCTACCTCTGGCCGTTCGGCGCTGGGCGACCGCGCGCAGGCGATGCTCGGAGCAGCAGCGGAGCTGGTGACCTTGCTCGGGTCGCCTACTTCGGCCGCTGGGCTCGCGGAGGCGCGCGCCCGAGGGAGGCGGATGCCGTCGGACCTCGAGAGGAGTTGCAGGACGCTCGGCGGGGCTGCGGCCTTCCTTCGCCATCCGCGTGAGGCGGAGGCTGTCGTCGCCAGTCTTCGGCGCTGGCTGGAGGATGGCGCCGTGCCCAGAGCGGGCTTGCAGGAAGATGGCATCGAGGAGGTGCTCGGCAGCGACGGCAAGTTCGAGGGGGCTGGCCACACACACACAACATTTGGAGCTCGGCACACAGGTGGTGACCGATGTGTTGGAGCCCAGGGAGGCCGAGGGCAAGCTCGAGCACACCATGAGGGAGCTGCTGGGCGAGCAGGTGCTGGAACTGCAGGCTGTCAGGGAAGAGCAAAAATCAGCGCACAACGGACATGCGCATGGAGCATGAGCAGCTGGTGCATCAGTTGAACCACGAGCAGCAGACGCACCTCGTGTCCAAGGAGCGGATCAAGCAGGTGGGGCACGAGGCGCAAGATCTCGCGCACACGGTGGAGGAGCAGTGGTTCAAGATCGCGCAGCTTGAAAAGGCCATGAGCGAGATCGCCTTCCTTGCAGATGTCCCCGCCTTCCCCTTCCTGCACATCGCCGGGGAGGCCCAGTCGTGCAACGTCGAGCAGCTCCAGCGCGACGACGACGCCCAGGAGACCAACGCCCTCCTGCTGAGCACCGCGGGAGACCAGGGCAGGCAGTTGCGCGCCGCCGAGGCGAAGAAGAGCATCTTGGACGGCCAGGTGAGCTCCACGGACGAGAGCACGCAGGGGGCCCTCGGCAACCCGTGGAGCATCGTGAAGAACCTGGGCTGTCCCTAGCACGACTTCGCGAAGGAGAAGTGCAACGGCGACGTGCCGTCGGTCCAGGCGAGGTGGGGGGCCGCGCAAACAACCCCAACAACCCCCAGTCGGCGCTGGGCAGAGGACCTCTGCGAGGACACCACGCTCGCGGTGGTCGACGTGGAGGAGCACCATGGTAAGCCCGCTGGCCACGCGGCGGCGGCGCTAGAGGGCGAGGATGTCGACGGGGACGTCCTGATCCTGAAGGCCTCGCAGTCGCTGAAGGACGACGAGGTGGAGGACCCGCACGACGAGCGGAGGCGTTCGGGAGGACCGCGGAGGCCGCTGATCCTCCAGCGCCATTTTTTCCAGACCGCTTGCCTCGACGAGATGGCCGTCGACCTGGAGGAGCTCCAGCGCATGCTGTCGAGCTCGAGGAGCTCCGCGCGGCCCAGCTGAGGTACGGCCTCGTCTCCAAGGCCAGGCGGGCCAGGCAGACGATGCGCGGGACGTGAGGGGGCCCGCTTTGGCCCGTTGTGCCCCCCTCGGAATTATGGCTCGTGCGGCGCACCTCGGCGTGGGTTTCGGGGGTGGTGCCGCCTGCTTCCCGCCCCGCGCGGTTTGGGCGGCCGCTGGCGGCTGCCGTGGTTTTGCCGTGTTTGCCCCCCGCGGGGGTGGACTCCGCTTGGCCTTGGTCCTCCGGTGGAGGGCCGCGGTTGGGGCGGAAGCTTGTTTGGGCTTCGGTCTGGGTGCTCCTCGTCGCCACGGCCCCAGCGCCTCGCGCAGGGCGGCGGCGCGCACCTGGCGGCGTAAAGGTCCCCCCCCGTGCGCCGATTTGACATCTGGGGCCTCGGTGGTTGTCAGCCTGCTGACGGCCGCCAGGACGTCTTTGATGACGTCGCATCCATCTATCCTCGTCGTCGTCCTCCTCCTCCTCCTCCTCCTCCTCCTCCTCCTCCTCTTCCTCCCCTCCGCGGTTTCCTCCTCCTGCCCTTCGGCGTCGTCTTCCTCATCATCCTCCCCCTTCCCCCCCACATGCCCATGCTCCTCCCATTCCTGGCCCCGAAGGACAGGGTGATGTTTGAGGCCGCCAAGTCAAGCGGGTTGATCTTCGATTCACCTTGCGCCAGGATCGCAACATAATGTATGCACATGATATGATACCAAGGGAGGTCCAGGCCGTTGCTCGCTCGCCGCGGAGGAAGGAGGAAGGAGCCTGGGAGGAGGAAGAGGAAGATAAGAGGCCATTGTGACGGCCGACGTCGTGCAAAAAACTACCGCGCCACTCAGCGCCACTCAGCGCCACTCAGCCACTCAGCGCCAGTCAGCGCCACTCTACGCCAGTCAGCGCCACTCGGCCGTTGAATGGCGCAGAGTGGCGCAGAGTGGCGCAGAGTGGCGCTGAGTGGCGCTGAGTGGCGCATTGGTGGCGCGAAGCGCGAAACGGTGCTGGGTGGCGCTGAGTGGCGCTGAGAGGAGGAGGGGTAAAAGGAGGAGCATCAGGAGGTCGGGGAGGAGGAGGAGGAGGAGGAGGAGAAGGAGGGGGCAGGAGAAGCGGGAGGATAAGCAGCATGGAGGTTGAGCATCATGAAGAAGAGAAGGAGAAGGAGGAGGAGGAGGAATATGTAAGAGGAGTAGTAGTGGGAGGAGGAGAGACAGGAGGAGGAGGAGGATTTGGAAGAAACTAAGGATGATGAGGAGGATGATCAGAAGGAAAAGGATAATGATGAGGAGGATGAGGAGGAGGAAGAGGAGAAGGAAAAGGATGATGATGATGATGATGATGATGATGATGATGATGAGGAGGAGGAGGAGGAGCGATGAAGATGATGAGGAGGATGATGACGACGACGATGACGACGACGATGACGACGACGATGACGACGATGGTTGTGGGGAAGACGGGAGGGAGGAGGAGAACGAGGAGGAGGGGGAGGTCCCGAATCGATGGAAATCGAATCGTGTAGGAAAATACACCCTATGATGCCACAGGTCTCTACATCATACCATGTGATAGTACATCATACCATGTGATAGCGAGGGTCTCTCAATACATCCACCGCTCTGGATGATGACCGTGGCATGAGGAGTGAGGTGGAATGAGGAGTGATGAGGAATATTATCAAAGATGAGGGGGAGGAGGAATACGAGGAGAGAAGACTGAGGGGCCAGAGGACAAGGAATACCAGGATGAGAAATCGGAGGAGGAGGAGGAGGAGGAGGAGGAAGAGGAGGAGGAGGAGGAGGTCCCGAATCGATGGAAATCGAATCGTGTAGGTAAGTGTATCCTATGATGCCACAGGTCTCCACATCATACCATATGATAGCACAGCACATTGTATTCCTGCCCGCGAGGGTCTCTCAATACATCCACCGCTCTGGATGATGACCGTGGCATGAGGAGTGAGGTGAAATGAGGAGTGATGAGGAATATTATCAAAGATGAGGGCGAGGAGGAATACGAGAAGTGAGGACTGAGGGGCCAGAGGACAAGGAATACCAGGATGAGAAATCGGAGGAGGAGGAGGAGGAGGAGGAAGAGGAGGAGGAGGAGGTCCCGAATCGATGGAAATCGAATCGTGTAGGAAAGTGTATCCTATGATGCCACAGGTCTCCACATCATACCATATGATAGCACAGCACATTGTATTCCTGCCCGCGAGGGTCTCTCAATACATCCACCGCTCTGGATGATGACCGTGGCATGAGGAGTGAGGTGAAATGAGGAGTGATGAGGAATATTATCAAAGATGAGGGCGAGGAGGAATACGAGAAGTGAGGACTGAGGGGCCAGAGGACAAGGAATACCAGGATGAGAAATCGGATGAGGAGGAGGAGGAAGAGGAGGAGGAGGAGATCCCGAATCGATGGAAATCGAATCGCGTAGGAAAGTGCATCCTATGATGCCACAGGTCTCCACATCATACCATATGATAGCACAGCACATTGTATTCCTGCCCGCGAGGGTCTCTCAATACTTCCACCGCTTTGGATGATGACCGTGGCATGAGGAATATTATCAAAGATGAGGGGGGGGCGGAATACGAGCAGTGAGGACCGAGGGGCCAGAGGATAAGGAATACCAGGATGAGAAATCGGAGGAGGAGGAGGAGGAGGAGGAGGAGGAGGAGACGGGTGGAGGAGGAACAGTTGGAGGACGAGTTTGAGGGGAATTGTGGAGGAGACGTGCGAGGATGCTCCGTGCCTCAGGCCATCTGGAGCAATATTTTGCCATCATGCGAGCCAGTGAGGGTCATCCGGAGCCCTATTGGAGCCATGGAGCCCTACTTGATGTCTCTTCTAGGCATTTCGGAGGCAATTTGGGGCCACCTCAGGATACATCATGCCATAGCGTTTGGGCTATCTAGAGCCTTCTTGCGGCCATCTTGCAACCTCTCGGGAGCCTCGTTGGGCCATCTTCTGGGCGCCGGGATGCCCGATCAAAGAGGAGGACATCGATCAAATAATGGGGGTCGCCATCGTGGCTGTCATCGCATCCATTACCGCCGTCATCCTCGCCGCTTGTCCCCTCGTCCCTCTCATTGGCCCTAGCGCCCTAGCCCATATTGCGCTCATATTTTAGCAATCGCTGGCAGTCACGATGGCTTGCGCCATCTGCCTCCGGCACCTCGAGCCAGACGACTCGTGGTCCATGTTGTGCGGGCATGCATACCACAAGGACTGCATATCCCTGGAGTTCGACAGGCGCCGTTTGACCCACATGATGGACCTGCCCTGCCCCCAGTGCAGGCAGATAGGTCGCGACATAGAGGCCGCCGCGGATGAGTTGCTGGCGGAGGGGGAGGACGAGGGCGCGGGCCCGGCCCGCGACCGCAGTCGCAGCCCCGGCCCGCGAGCAGCGGCGCGCCCCGAGCGCGCACCTGCCCCTCACGCAGGCTCCGCGCGAGGGGCGTTCCGCACCCCGAACACGCAGGGCGAGGGGCACAGGGTCATTCGCGCGAGGCGCCAGTCCGCGCGGATGGCAGATCCCCCGGTCGATGCTGGGCCAGGGCCCGCGCCCGACGGCACAGGGGCGGCGGCGGAGTCGCCAGCACCGCGGCGCGGCCGCGACGAGGAAAGCGCAATCGTGGCGGCGGGGTCACCGCCACGGCAGCGCGGCGGCGAGGATGCAGGCGAGGGTTCGCCTTTGCCAACGCAGCGGACGGGTCGCTCCCCGGCTCTTCGAGGGAGAACCCGCTCATCATTTTGTCGCTCCCCTCCCCCCATCGCCGCCCCTCCGTCAGGTTTTGCGGGGCGACAATTTCGGGTTTGAGTTCAGGGACATCCGCGGCCGCGCAGGTGTCGCCCACGCAGCGCGCGACCCCCTCGCGGGGTTGCTGGGCGAGCTGCAAGCCGTGGCGAGCCAGGGCGAGTTCGAGCGCTTGATCCACCCGCGCGACTTGTTCAACGGTTTCGCAACCGTGGACGAAATCTACGCAACCGTCACTCGCGAGTTGGAGAGAATGGAGGCAGACACCAGGGACCACGTCGCTGTGGGGTGCGACCTGGCTTTTTCCTTGCGCTTGCGCGGCCCTGTGCCCGCCCCTCAGCCGCGGTCGGTCGCTAGGCGGCGGCCCTTCTGATTCGGCCAAGAGCTCCGTCTCTATTAGGAGCCGATCGAGCTCTTTTTTTGAGGGGGGGGTCGGCTTGACTCTCCGATCGAGCTCGCCAGATCGATCCCTCCAGTTAGCTGATCGCTGGCCCCGCACTAAGTCTTCTTTCTTGTCTGGCCCGCTGCGTGCAGATCAGCGCGCCCCGTGCTGAAGTCAGCTTTGGCCGCAAACTCTCTGGTGGTTTTCTTGGGGCGAGATCCCGTGGGATCTGTTGTTATGCTAAGAAACCGGCAGGTTTTGCTTATGTTGTACTTGGGCGCCCCGCCGCCTCCCTTTTTTCGCAATAGACCTGGCAGCTGTGGATGCTGCACAGTTGCGCGGCCGCTATAGTATCTGTATGTGTTTTGAATGAACACCCACAGATCCCACGGAAAACGCTTCGATTTGTTAGGGGTTCTCTTCTTGGCATTGCGAGGACGTCGCGCCTCTGACTCAGCAAGTCCCCCCCCGCTCTCGGGGCGAGATCCCGTGGGATCTGTTGTTCTGCTAAGAAGCCGGCATGTTTTGCTGACGTTGTATTTGGGCGTCCCGCCGCCCCCTTTTTCGCAATAAACCTCGCAGCTGTGGATGCTGCGCAGTTGCGCGGCTGCTTTAGTATTGAGCACCCACAAATCCCACGGAAAACGCTTCGATTTGTTAGGGGTTCTCTTCTTGGTATTGCGAGGACGTTGCGCCTCTGACTCAGCAAGTCCCCCCCCGCTCGTGGGGCGAGATCCCGTGGGATCTGTTGTTCTGTTAAGAAACCGGCACGTTTTGCTTATGTTGTATTTGGGCGTCCCGCCGCCTCCCCTTTTCGCAATAAACCTCGCAGCTGTGGATGCTGTACAGCTGCGCGGCTGCTATAGTATCTTTATGTGTTCTGAATGAGCACCCGCAGATCCCACGGAAAACGCTTCGATGTTTTAGGGGCTTCTCTTCTTGGTATTGCGAGGACGTTGTGCCTCTGACTCAGCAAGTCCCCCCCCGCGCTCGCGGGGATTCCAATGGTCTGATCGAGTTCGCCAGATCGTGCCCGCCATGGAGCCGATCGCCGGTTCCCCGCGCTAAGTCCTTTCGTGAAGGCGATCCAGTCTATCTGCCTGCGCGAGCGGTGGGCGCCAGAGGTCCTGCACCAAGGGATTCTTGCGAACGGCGGGTGGTTGGAGAACGCGGGCACGCGCTTGAAGATGCGCCCCGACGAGCAGCATTTGCGGACCCTCAACGCGCCCGCGTTCACCGGCATGCCCCCTTCCACGCGGAAGTCCAGCCTCCATCGGTTCGTCGCGGAGTTTTTATTGGAGGACGAGCGCGTCGAGGAACCGCGGGCGCCCATTTGGTCCCGGGCGCCCCATGTCTCCCCCATTCCCTTGTTGATTGGGCGCGTTGTGCCTGGAAAACGAGCGTGCAATGCGGCCACCTGCCTGATGCTGCCACTTGCCACTAGGGCTTAAACATACATGTTCTGGCGAAGCTGCTCCTGCGACGGCGCCGCGCCCATGCTCCAGGTGCCCTTGTCGTCAGCCGATATTGCTTTTGCGCTGC